TTGCCTCAAGTTCCCCACACCCACCGGCATCGGCTACTCAAGGGGGAACCAAAAGCTCTCTAGGGCATGCTACCTTCAACTTACCAAGAAGGTTAGTAAAACGGAACTCCGCGTCGATACTATCACTACCAACGCCCTGGAGGAAGAGGAAGGCAGGCCGAGGGCTGAACCCACCGAGGACACCGAAGACTTGATACTCAATCCGGCCAAGCCGGAGAGAGTCCTGAAGATTGGAGCCAAGCTCCCCGAAGACTTGAAGGCTGGCATCACCGAAGCCCTCCGCGCCTACTCCATTGTTTTTGCATGGGGGCCAGAGGATATGCCAGGAATTGACCGAAGAGTCATCACCCACCGCCTCGCGGTGGACCCTTCGGCCAAACCAGTACAGCAACGACGAAGACCCCTCTCGGCCGAGAGAAGGGAGTACGTGAAGAAGGAGGTAGCCACGCTCCTCTCCATCAAACATATCAAGGAGGTGAAATACCCCTCTTGGTTAGCAAATGTAGTCCTCGCACAGAAGCCTCCTACTTTCCGCATGTGCGTGGATTACACGGACTTGAACAAGGCGTGCCCTATGGACCCCTTCCCCCTGCCGAACATTGATCAGCTGGTGGATGAGACCGCGGGATGCGAAATCATGACCTTCCTCGACGCATTCCGCGGGTATCATCAAATATATATGCATGAGGAGGACGCTGAAAAGACAGCCTTCATGACGCCCGAAGGCATCTTCTGCTATCTTGTGATGGCCTTCGGCCTAAAGAATTCCGGCGCCACCTACACCAGGATGGTGGCCAGGGTCTTCCAATCTGTCTTGGGGCGCACTATGGAGGCCTACGTGGACGATATGATCGTCAAAAGCAAGAAGGCAAAGACCCACGCCGAGGACCTCCGGGAAATCTTCGCCATCATGCAAAAGTTCAACCTCCGGCTGAATCCAAAGAAATGCACTTTCGGCGTGCAAGGAGGGAAGTTCCTAGGCTACATGGTCAGCCGAAGGGGGATTGAGGCCAACCCCGAGAAAATTCAGGCCATCATCAACATGGAGCCTCCACGCAACGTCAAAGAAGTCCAACGGTTGACGGGCCGCCTGGCAGCCCTCAACCATTTCCTCTCCAAGTCAGCCGAAAGGGCCCTCCCCTTCTTCCAAATCATGAGGAAGACAGCGGGTTTCCAATGGACATCTGAATGTCAAGAGGCCTTTGATGAACTTAAGAAGTACCTCTCTTCCCCCCGGTGCTCTCCAAACCGAAGGTGGGGGAGACTTTATACTTATACCTCGGTGTTAGCCCTGCCTCCATCAGCTCCGTGCTAATCCGGGAGGAAGACGGCATCCAGCATGCCATCTTCTATGTCAGCAAGACCCTCCGGGAAGCCGAACTCAGATACTCTCCCGTCGAGAAGACGGTGCTAGCCATCGTTTGGACCGTCAAGAAGCTTGGGCACTACTTTCAAGCTCATCCGGTCCAAGTCCTGACACATCAACCCCTCGGCGCCCTCATGAGAAGCCCCACAAGTTCTTCCCGAATGGTAAAATGGGCCATCTTCCTAAGCCAATACAACATTGACATCCGTCCGAGGCCTGCCATCAAGGGCCAAGCCCTGGCAGACTTCGTAACGGAATGTACCGCGAGATCAGCGGTGGATGAGGAGCCTTCGGCACCTTTAGACGAATGGTGGACCCTCTATACCGATGGCTCCTCAGCCACCAAAGCATGCGGAGGAGGGGTAGTCCTCATTACACCCGAAGGCTTCCGCGCATATTATGCCATTCGCTTCTCCTTCAAAGTCTCCAACAACGAAGCCGAGTATGAGGCCCTCCTCTGTGGCCTTCGGCTAGCAGCAAACCTGAAGGCTAAAATGATCCACGTCAAGTGCGACTCTAAACTTGTCGTGGGTCAAATCTCCGGGGAGTACGAGGCCAAGGAAGGAAGGATGAAGCAATACAAGGAGGCTGCCAAGGAGTTGCTTAAGGTATTTGAGGCACATTCCCTCACCCAAATACCGAGGGCTCAAAACTCTGAGGCCGACATTCTATCCAAGCTCTCGGATGAATCCCCCGAGCACCTCTCAAAAATTGCAAGAATCGAGGAGCTCAGCCTCTCAAGCATCCACGCAAGCCCCATTATGAACATTAACCTGAGACCGGAGGATTGGATCTCCGACATCACCACCTTCATCACCACAGGGCAACTACCCCAAGATGAGGGCTCCCAGCTACACCCTCGAGAATGGAAGGCTTTACAAAAGATCTTACAACGGCACCCTCCTTCGGTGCCTTCATCAAGATGAAGCCGAAGTTGCTATGGAGGAAGTGCACAGTGCCACTTGCTCAGCTCACCAGGGGCCCTTCTCCATGTCCCGAAGGCTCATTGTTCAAGGCTACTTCTGGCCCACGATGGCTAGAGATTGTGCTGATCTAGCCCGAAGGTGCACCGCTTGCCAGCACTTTCAGAAGGCCCCCGGCAGACCAGCGGTCAATTATGCCCCCATCAGTACCGCTATACCCTTCTCCAGATGGGGGATTGACTTAGTAGGCCCTCTGTCGAGGGGTACCTCCAACAACAGATATATCATTGTGGCCATTGACTACTTCACCAAATGGGTAGAGGCCGAGCCCCTCGCCAGCATCACTGAAGCCCGGTGCCGCCACTTTGTTCTCAAAAATATTCTCACGAGGTTTGGCGTCCCCAACAAATCATTTCCGACAACGGCACTCAATTCGAGGCAGCCCCCTTCTGCGCCCTTCTTGAAGCTTGGGGCATCAAGCACACATCCTCTTCCGTTGCCTACCCTCAGGGCAACGGGCAAGTAGAGAATGCCAACCGCACCCTCCTCGAGGGGTTGAAGAAGAAGCTGGAAGCCGAGGGGGGAGGCTGGGTAGAAGAGCTTCATAACATCCTATGGGCCTACCGCACCACCCCTCGGCGTGCAACAGGTGAGACACCCTTCTCCCTATGCTATGGCTTCGAGGCTAAAGCTCCAACAGAAGTGACCCTTCCCACCCGAAGGGTGGAACAATATGAACCCGAGGTCAACGACACCAACATGGCCCTCGACCTTCATCTCATCTCAGAACGCCGAGAGCAAGCCTTTCTCAGGGCTGAAAACTATAGAAGACAAGTCAAAGGCTACATCGACGCCAAGGTCCGCTCAAGGGAATTCCAGGTGGGAGACTACGTCCTCCGACGAAGGGAGGCCAGCCTACCCACCGAAGGAGGAAAAATGGCACCTAAATTTGAAGGCCCCTACATCGTCTCAGCCATCATCAAACCGGGGACATACAAACTACGACGCCCTAATGGGACGGAGGTCCCTAGACATTGGAATGTGCACCACCTTGTCAAATTCTATCAGTAAAACATGAGTGGCCAAGCCCTCACCCTCAACAGATGTAATAAATGGCCCAAGGCCCCTCTCATTTTGAAAGAATGATCAAAAGGCCAAGCCTTCATCACCTGCATATTGTACAAGTGGCCCAAGGCCCCCTTTCTCTCCTACAAATGAGTGGCCAAGCCCTCATCTCTTCACAAAAATAGGCCCAAGGCCTCTTCCTCTCATGAGGGGGAACAACAATTTAGGTACCAAGTACCAAGTATATGGGTCACCCCCATCACTCTTTGAAAACACCAAGTGTTTTCTCACTAAGCCGTACCCCACGGGGACGCAACCATGCATTGGGCATACTAAAAAAAAAAAAAAAAAAAAAAAAAACCGGGGGGTGCAACACCCCCTCGGCTCCGGCTAGCACCAAGTGCCCCCGGCTATTTGTGTTCCACACACAAATAAAACCCTTCCCAGGAACGCTTTCCGCGCCATCCCCCAAGGGGAGGCAGGCAACGGACCATGTCCCGGGCCCAGGATTCGACTTCCACAAACGAAACGCTCCCCGCGCTATCCCCCAAGGGGAAGCAGGCAACAGACCATGTCTCGGGCCGAGGGGACGACTTTCAAAACCGAGGCGCTTTCCGTGCTATCTCCCAAGGGGAAGCAGGCAACAGACGATGTCTCGGGCCGAGGAAACGACCCTCAAAACCTTCGGGATATCGGAAGGTCATTCCCGAAGGGGGAGCCAACGGTTTGTTCCGTTGCCTCCCATATAGGCCAAGCCTTTCCTAGAAACCAAATTTCTAGATGCCTCTCCTACATCATCAAAAAAAAAAAAAGGAGGATGTGTAGGGGGGAAGGAACTCCCCGGATACTATTCTCCCCGAAGGCTCAACACTTCGGATATATATTCCCGAAGGCTCCTACAAAGGCGCAAGGAAGTCTCTCAGCAACAGATCATCTGGCTACATAGCCGAAGGGTGTATGCCGATTCCATAAATGGCAACTTTGCTAAAATTTTGCTAACTCCACAAATTGGACCCCTCAGAGAACAATCATTAACCATGATTTTGGATCCCCCGGCAGCTATACACACCGGAGGCTCAGGCAGCTCTCACACTCGAAGGGTCACTACAACATTTATTGAAACTTGGTCAAAAAAAAAACGACTAAGTCCACAATTGGGGGCCCTTCGGGGGCAAACCGGGATACCATCTTCACCAACCTTCTTACAGCCGATGGCTCCCCTAATCTACTTGGCAATGACCTAAAGCTATACTACGAAACGAAGGCTCGGTATGTCCGAGGGCATAAGATACAATTTCACTTCGAGAATTTCTTGAGTCTAATTCATTTGAGCCCTCGGTCCTATCATTTGAGCCCTCCGTCCTATACAACTTACAGTATAGGGATTCTTCACAGAAGGGCACCAATGGAGTCTCACTTAGATTATTTCCTGAGGCTTCGCGCTAAATCCGAAGGGTTCTGACATAAGTTTGGCTTAGAAATATTTCCTAAATCCACGAATCCATGCCCCGGCTTCTCCACGCTACCCCCGAAGGCTTTGGTGGATGTGATTTTAACCTACAACCGAAGGCTTCTGACTACTTCGACACTTAGAAAATTTTCTAAGTCCACAAACATTCACTCATACGAGAAGGAAAGAAGGCAAAGGCATATATTCAAATTCAAAACGAAGAGGAAGCAATTCATTCCAAAAAAGCCCGGAGGCAAAGCATTCACCATTAAGAAAAGAAATATTCAAAGTGACAAAACATGTTTTGATTACAATACATGGCCGAGGCCGAAAAATGCGGGCTATTACAAAGCTACACTTAGAACAAATCCTATTTTTGAGCTTCCTCAGCTGCATCTTCCTTCGCCTTTGAGGCCACATCATCTTCGGCTTCTTCGTCGTCGCCCTCGCCCATTAGCTCGGAGTCCTCGAGATCCGGCCTCTCTTCACCTTCTGGAAGAGGAACTCTGACATCCGGCTGCAAGGGGGGAAGCCCGTGAGCTACAGGGTCAAACTCCTTCAGATCGATTTTCAGGTGCCGGGCTAGCCTTCGGTAGATCAGCTTCTGGGTGAAGAATTCACCACCATCATAATAATCCTTGCCCTTTCGGGCTAGCCACTCGGCGCCGGGGCCCTTCACCCAGGCATCCACCCCCTGTCCTATGACCGAGGCCACCCATTCCTTCCGGTCCTCGGCCTTCCAGCCCCCAGCAGCGAAGGCGGCAACGGTGTGCTTCTCCGCCTCGGCGACAACCACCTTCTTGGCTGCCTCTGCCTCCTCGGCGGCAACCTTGGCGGCTTCGGCAGCGGCCCTCTCTGCGTCGGCCTTCCCTTCGGCTCTGGGGATCACTTTATTATTTTCAAGAATGCTGTTGAACGCCTCTTTCTCCAGCCGAAGGGTTTCTTGGACCTCCTGGAGTTGCCGCCGGGACTCTGCCAGGGCCTCATCAGCCTGGCGCTTCTGCGCCTGATATTGCTCCATCCTTTGGAGCAGCTCTCCAAGACCGAGGGCAGCCTGCAGATCAAAACCGCCGTACAGCAATGATTAGCTTGGTAAAATGAAGATACGCCAAGACCATCAACTAAACAAAAGTTAAGAGAGAGACTTACAGTGACGGAGGCTTGGAGCACCTTGGCACTGAGGGCATCATCCTTGGCCCTCGACAGCACCGCCTTGTCAGTCGGGGGCGTGGCACCCTTTAGGAACTCCCTCGGGCTGAGGGTGCCGTGCATAATGGCAGTTCCCTTGGTAATAGAGAACCGCACATCTTCCCGGGGCCAAGCCAAGCTGTTGCCTGGGTCCCCGGGGGGAGGAAGAGCACTTGCTGAGGGGGAGGAGGAAGAGTGCTCTTCGACGACGACGAGGGGGGCGTCCTTCTTCTCGTGCCCCCCTTTCTTTTTCTTCTTCTCCGGAGGCATCACGCCCTTCCCGGAATGTTTCCTTTTGGGCTCCGCCTGGGAACCCCCGGCACCGGCACCGGTGCCGACAGCTTGGGAGGGTCCCTCACCCTCCGGCACCTGCACAGCTCCATCCTTCCGGAAGAACTCATCGACGGATTTCTGAACCCCCGTCTCCTTCTTCTTCTTCGGCTCCTTGACCAGCTTCTTCTTCAGCGCGGCAAAATTGGAAACATCCATGCTGACGCCTGCAAAACAATAATAAAGTTAGGCCGAAGGGGTCAACTTCAAAAAAGGGGAAACAAGGAAACACCAAAAATCCTAAGTACAATAAACTGGACCCTCCGGTAACTACCTCCAATGCTTCCGAGGGCTCTTTCGAGGACGGGGTACTGCTCGTCCTTTTCACCCAGAAAGCGATAACGCCGAAAGCCTAAGGCTAGCAAGTCCTCCGGGAGAGTAGAACCCTTGACTGTCACATGCTTTGTGGCCCCCGGCAGCAGAGCAGCAATCTTCTTCCCCTCCTTCTGAAGCGCGGCACTTCCCACCTTCGGGTGCCGACGGAAGTGGTTGCGCAATTCCCTCGGGAACGGATTTTCCGCCATCTTAATGTAGCAGAAGCGGTCCTTCCACCCTTTGTGGGACGAAGGCACATCGTCAAAGAGTCTCCAGGGGGCGAGCTGTTGCAAGTTTGCAAACCCCTCGGAATTGGTATGCCCCCCCCCCCCCCCCCCCGGCACAGGTTGAAGCTTTGAAAGAATAAATCGAGGGTCGCGGTTACTTTCCGGGCTCGGCAAAGCTGGAGGAAGCCTGTAATATACGAGTGGCTGTTTGGGGTAAGCTGACAGGGGGATAAACCCACGTACCTCAGATATTCGAGGAGGAAAGGGTGCAGCGGGAACCGGAGGCCCATGGCAACCAACAGCACATGGACCGCGAAGCAACCCTCCGGAGCCCGCAACAGTAGATCATCGGGTCCCGGTTCGATTACGGTCGCCGAAGGGCCAACATGCAACTGAGTGACGTAACATTCGGCCCGGTCAGCCTTCGATCTCAGCGCGAGGGCGGCAGTGTTCAGCCATGAATGCCCCTCGGGTATTCCAACAGGCTTCCCGCAATCAACGGCAGTTTGCTTGCCTTTCGGGGGAGCCTTCGTCTTCTTCCTTTTCTTCCCCACGGCAACACTGAGGGGTTCCGGATCTAGGGGCCGAGAGGTGCTTGCTTCGCCGGCACCACGAAGTGGGAGGACAGCAACGGTGACTTCTTGCCTCTCCTTCTCTTCCTCTTCTTCGGCCACCTGGAGCGCGAGGGCCATTTCTTCATCCTCGGCTACCTGCTCGAACTCCTCTGCCTCCATCTCAGTACGAAGGTTATTTTGGAGCTCCTCGGCGACTGATGAGTCATTATTCACCGATGACTGCTCACTTGAGGACTCCGCCTCAGAAATACTCTCCATCTCCGCCGATGGCTCCCTCGAGATGTCTTGAGAGTCGCTTTGCGAAGACATGGTTGTTGACCGAAAGGACTTCAAATGGAAAGGTTACCTAAAAGTTTGGCCGAGGGATCCTAAGATCTCTAACACTCGATCTAAGGAATGAAGAGCAAAGTATACTACCTAAGCTCAAGAACAGGAGGAAAACTGACCTCGGAAACCTTGGGATGATCGAAAATGGGTTTCTCTCTCTAGAAAGCACTTGGGCAGAGCTTCGCTTCAATAGAATCGCGCAAGGAGAATGACCTCTGGCTTTGGGTATTTATAGGGAATGGGCCTCGATATATGGGCCTCCGTTTAAAAAACCATCATTACACGCCGCCGGTTCAGCCAATGGGTGGCACCCGCCAACTGAATCATGCCACGTGGAACCCCCCTCCAACGGCTCTTTTTCAACGGCTACATTACGCCGGCCAACGAGCAACCTCATGCGGTAGCCTCCGGTCGCCACCCACGGCAACCTTCGGTAAGGAATTTTCACCAGGGGCCTCCGGGCCAATTACAACATAAGCCTCCGGCTATCAATATTACCACCCTCGGGGGTTCATCAAACAACATAACTCCTTCAGCCCGAACTAAGCCTTCGGCCTAAAGGAGTGGGGGACTGGGACACACCCCTCGGTAATCACACGTGACTAAAAACAAAAATTCCCACGAATAACGCATGTAGCCCTCGGGTACATGCATCATTGCACCCTTCGGTAGAGGCCTAAAATCAAAAATGTTCCACAAAGTCACTGACGATAATGAAACAACCTTCATCACAACACATACAGATATTATTTACGCCTCCCTCAGAAAACCCCCGACATGTGAGGGACTGAGGAGAGGCTCCGGCATTCATACAAGCGTTATACTTCCTTCAGAAAACCCTCGGCATGTGAGGGACTGAGGGAAGCCTTCGGCTATCAGCAGAAGGCAAATTCTCAAACAAAGGCACCCAAACAGACGATGAAGCCTCCGGAAGAATCAACATTTCTACTCCTTTTCCCTCAAGTACCTTTCGGCAAAAGGAGTGAGGGACTCCTGATGGAGTATATGGCCCAGGAACCCCCGGCCCATAAACTCCTACTTCTCCTACACAAGTCCATTAGGCTCAGGAATCGACTCAGGCCCAAATACAACGGCCCAGGCCTCAAAGTAGCCCAGAGTACACACTGGGGTGCCTTCGGCCTCCTTGGCCGAAGGCTCCAAAAAACTCACAAGGTAGCCTTCTCTGGCGTACGAAGCTACTGGGAGAAAACGGCGAAAAACATGAGCCTTCGGCATTACCAAGCCCTCGGCATAGGGAAGCCTTCGGCTGAACTTAGCCCTCTGTCACTCGGGGCCTTCGGCTACACAGGGGTCCTTGGCTACATGGACCCCTCGGCCACACAAGGAGCCTTCGGCCAAACACTCTCAATCATCGAAGATTCCTTTTAGGGACAGCCAACCACCGCATTTAATGCCACGTCACATCCGCCAACCGCATTCAATGCGGTGAACGTACCACTGCCGGTGCCACCAGGCTGATGTGACCCTTCGGCCGTTGGATTACTGACACGTGTACTCTCATCGCATTTATTGCTGCTATAAATAGCAACCCATTTCTCCTTGTAATCGCCATCTACATCTCAACTCCACACGCTGAGTTCATTTAATAAAATTGACTCTCTCTCCTCCTATTTACTCTGACTTCTCTCTTAGTTATTCCCGCAATAACCCCCCGGGTAGACTATCCATCATTTATTGTTGGATAATTGATACTCATATCCTATAACTACATAGATTTGAACAAGAGTGGAGAAGGAATAAAGAAAGTGTATAGAATGAATGAATATTGGTTATGGTTTACAAGCCTCCCGTAAGGAGTATATATAGGGAAAATCCGGGTCTGGGCCTCTAATATGGGCCTGACAGACCCGATTACATAAATGGACTGATAGTATAAAAAGCTAATCTAGAACATCTTAATAATAATAATGTACAATAATATGAATCCGCTAAACGTGTGTGGGCCGCTGTCCAGGCCCAGTAGTCGGCAGACCGGGGAATCGGAGTCCATATACTCCATCAGGAGTCCCCCACTCCCTGAGTCGAGAGTACTCGAGGCGAAAGGGAGTAGTCCAAACTGTAGCTGCAACGTTCTTCTGTCTTTGGTTTCTTCCTCTTCGGCCGGGGGACCACCACCCTCGTCAATGATGGGGAGGTGCCTCGTTAAAAACCTTTACTAGGAAAAAACCCAGTGGGAAAAAAATCCTAATAAAGGGAAAAAGAGTACACCTAGCGCCCCCAACATGAAACAAGGAAGGTAGGCCCCCTCCGGTATACTCACTTTTGTCTAGCTCAAACCGTCTTCATCTGGCTCATCTCTCGTTCCTGCTCATGCGTGATATTTTCTCCTCATCTAGAAACTCTGACCCCTCAGTCCTCAAGTTCCCACTCTTTGAGGCGAGTGCAGACGAGGTGAAAATGATTAAGGTCATCTCTGTACCTACACATTTAACATACATATAAATTTTTTCTTGGGATTTATGTTTCCGATCGGGAGTTCATCACTTGAAACAAGTGGAGATGTGAATTGTTAATGTAATGATAAAATACTTAGTAGAATGGATGTGTGAGCCATTCGTAAGCAACGGTCGCCACTCGAGGAATGACTAAGACCGGTCTTCGTACCCGACTTGGTCGGGGTTTTGTCTTCGTGCCCGACTTGGTCGGGGCTTTGTGCCTGATCTTGGTCAGGGCTTTAAATCCTAGTGATGGGTCTCAAGCCACACTCTACTAGGCATTTGATCATAAGTGCGTGATAGTGTGATATTCGCCCGACAAAAAATTGATTTAAATAAAAATAAATAATATGAAAATTAAAGAGTACTTATCTTTTTTAAGTGGGCTGAATATATTGGACTGACTGAAAAGAATAATATCCGGCTGATTCCTTTGGGCTCATTCTAATTTGTGAAAAATTGACAGCCATGTTGTTGATTAGTGCTGCGTGGTCCATATTAATTTTTAGGCTCAATTTTTGGCTCCATATAATCCTGGCTCACTGATCCCCTTTTGGCCCATGCTTCCAGCGGAGTTTTTGATATCAAACCGTCCATGTTCTATGAGGGCCATATATCTTCAAACAATGTCGACAGATATGATATGTGTGGCTTGATTTCATTTCACGCACCTAACGTTAGGTGAGAGCGGCTCTTTCCTCGATGCCGCCGGGGGTCCGGATTAGATCGCCGCCAGCCGCCTACAGCCACCGTCAGCAGGAAGAATGGTGGGGTAGCTATTGAAGGCCATAGAGGGGTCGCGGGTTTCGAGCGTCACACCTTGCCCCATCTTCTGCCATGGCCGTTACTAGCTCAGGGGTCAGAAGAGCTTCGGTAGCTTTTGCCACCGAAGAGAGGGCGCGGCAGTGAGACCTTGGTCTAAGCCATGGGTATAAACTGGATGCGGTCAGGGCCATCGTTGGCCAGATAAGTCATCCCTGATTTCGCTACCACCACTGTGGTTTTGACTCAGGCGTAGGTGTTGACGGAGATAGATGAACGAGTTAAGGGCGACAGGAGGCGGCACCGCGTTGCAGGGGAAGGAGTTAGCTGTTCGTCGCCGTTGACCGGTCAGTTCGTCAGAGCTGTCGTTTCTTGGGTCGTTTCTAGGAGGACGATAGCCGCGTGACACAGCCCTGTGTGACTGAGGAGCCCTTCGTCTGGTCACTGGAACGAGCTAGGCCATCCCTCTGACATAGCAGTGCAAGCTGGAAGGACTGACAGAGGATAGAACAATGAACGGCGGTGGAGGCCAGAGCGAGCTGAGCTTGTAAGGCTTGATTTTTTCAGATCTAGGAGTTCCTAATCCCAGTTCGGAAACTGCGTTTGGCGGGTGAGCTTTGGGCGGTGAGGACAAGGTCTGCAACTATGGCAGAATCGATGGGTGGTTCCTGCGGCTCCCACTCCACCCAACTCAGGATTCCATTCTTTTCTTCTTTTAACAGACTGTTTTTTGCTTGATTTTCTGTGATTTGGGTGATTTTTTTTAGATTGGAATGAATCTTTGATATTTTGGGGAGGTTTTCTCACTTGATTGTGTTCAACCTCTCAACGAGAGCACCATTGTTGGATAATTGATACTCATATCCTATAACTACATAGATTTGAACAAGAGTGGAGAAGGAATAAAGAAAGTGTATAGAATGAATGAATATTGGTTATGGTTTACAAGCCTCCCGTAAGGAGTATATATAGGGAAAATCCGGGTCTGGGCCTCTAATATGGGCCTGACAGACCCGGTTACATAAATGGACTGATAGTATAAAAAGCTAATCTAGAACATCTTAATAATAATAATGTACAATAATATGAATCCGCTAAACGTGTGTGGGCCGCTGTCCAGGCCCAGTAGTCGGCAGACCGGGGAATCGGAGTCCATATACTCCATCAAAGATAGATCTTGGGGATTTCCCCCTTAATATTACTAAATTGAGGTAAATTTTCAAAAATGTGACTGCTTTTATATATTGACAAAAATGTGACTAACAAAGTCATATATTTGGAAATACTTCATGTCACTGCGACTTTTTCATATCACTTCAAAATTTGTATGTCACTGCGATTTTTTCATGTCACTAAGAAATTGTCACTGTCAGAATTTTCAGACCGGGTCACCGCCACAGTGACACTATTGTCGGTGACACTGTCATAGTGAAATGCCAGCACCGCCCATACTCACACCATCTTGTATAGTGACCATTGGAAATTTTTGCGACAATGAAACTGCCGCCGGCGACTGTCGGTGCCTGAACAGTGACACCACAAGCCCCTCCATAATCCACCAACCCCTTCCTGTCCCACCAACACCGTCCCCAACCCCAACCCCTGCACAATTGGTGCCCAATACCATACCCCAGTATCCTTTCAACCAATGCATCCCGCCATCGTACGTGCCACTGCCGCCCCCAACGCAACCCTAGGCGCCGATATCGGATCTGAAAACCTAGCCAAACCGTACCACGATCGGACCACCATTTCTTCTGCTCAACCCCCCACCTCTGATGCCAAGCCGTCGCACCAATCCGACGCCCCAGAAACTCTATCCTCCAACCTCGTAGCCAAACTCTAGCCGTAGGACAATCGATGATGGTCGCAGATCTGAAGGTGGTCGCAGGTTTGAAGGTCGTCGCCGAACGAAGATATGTTCGTCTTCACTGATCTTGGCCATAGTAAGGTGAAGAAGAAGAAGGTGAAGAAGGAGGAGGAGGAGGAGGAGGAGGAGGAGGAGGAGTAGAAGAAGAAGGGGATTGATTGTGACCAAGACAACGACATCGATCCAGGTTACAACGAAGAAAGCGTTAGCGGCGAGCTTGGCTGCGACAAGGTCGGCGCCAAAAATCTCCTTCACTGCCATGGTAGAAGAGAGAGGCTTTTTTATGAGAGCAGGAGTTGAGGGAGTCGTAAGGAGCGGTTTAATGAAGTCATATTTGTGGAAATATAAAAACTAGTCACATATTTATCTTCTAAAAGTGTATGGGTAATATCTATTCCATTCTTTCTAGATCTTATATAGGTCTCAGAATTTTGAGCTTTTGGCACTCTTAGTCTAATAATTGTATTACTTACATTTTTTACAATCAATTTTTATTATTTTTTCATTTTTAATCTTTCAAATAATGTGAGAGACTTTGATTTCTTGATTTTTGTTTTTCCCACATTTGTCCTCTAGAAACTCTAAGTCGATACTTTTGATTTTTCAACTACTATAGGCTGGTAGTTTTGGTCTCTATAAAGGCTACTTACAACCAATCCTTATCAACAAATCAAAATTCCATTCTGATTATACATAAAAATGCATATTCACTCCGTCAATCAAGTTTTCCTTGAAAGCCGGCAACTGTCAATATATTCACTCTTTATAATATTTTTACGTATGATAAATAAATCCTTGCTGTTATTTTGATAAAAAAAAATTGACTAATTCTTATTACAAATAATTATTATTCAAAAAGTCATACATTTCGATGTAAAAAGAAATTCTGCTTAAGTTTGAATTTTGATTTTTTTGCACCATTTTTTAAGTTCACTGAGTGAAAAGTAAGCATTTATCGTAATCATCAAATCTTATTTTAGATCTTAAATACACTTCTACTTTAACTTTCCAACTTTCCTTCCGTCTGGTCTTCTCTCTCCTACTTTTTGAGGTGAATCTGACTTGGAAACAAGAAACAGAACTCTCTTGGGTGATAATAACCCACAATTCACCCTTCATCAACAATCTTTCCATAATTGTAGAGCATTTTGGGTAAATAGCTCAAAATTGTGTTTTTCATCCTTCCTCTGTCACTTTTAGAAAAGTCAAAGAAAGATTATGGATAATCCAAATATAGATATCAGTATATCACAAGTACATTGGACTAGAAGTGTAAAATGTAAATTAAGTGTCACTAAGGTAATAATCGGAAAATGAAAATCCATAAAAACTTAAATTTGTGAATAAAAATACTTCAAATCTTCAATGTAAGAATATAAAGATGTTTTGGGTGTCGCCAACTGGTTATGCTTATTGTCTACGACTTGCTTATTGTATTTTTGTTATGGCAGGCAGCATACTTTCACATCTTTCTGTCCAAAACCATGCGTTATTCTTATTCTCTGCTGCTCTAATTTCTCACTAAAAGTTGTTCGCTTATGGCTGTTCAGTGGTCAACTTGCCATCGATGAATCTCTTCTTTAAGCATATTTATTTTAACACTTTAACGTACTTTTAAATTTTGTTGACCTCACACATCTACGAATAATAAAAGCATGGGACGATAATTCTTAACGTACTCCACTGAATCATAAATTTTAATTACAACTTCAATTCATTCTTTATTATCTTTTTGATGTTGAAAATATCTCATTTTTGAATAATTGAAACCCATGAAATCTTTTCATCAGTCAAATGCAATCACATACGGATCGGAGTATATATAAAACAGCATTATTGCATTTAAAAACGTTAATATTATGTTCCTGTTCACATTGAATTACTAATACTATAATTAAATACTTTTTCGTAACACAAACAAAGATTAAGGAGTATTGAATGATGAAGATATTATCCCAGGTACGTAAATCCTAAACTACTAAACTATAAGCATTTAAGATGAACTCCAATCCTTAGTAGGGTGTTGAAATCATGATTATAAATCAGGATTGTGATTTAATTTTTTGTTTAGGAATTAGCACTAGCCTCGTGATTAAAAGCTTGTTTAGGGTCTATTTGGCTCATTTGTATACCCCTATATTGTCTACGCATTTCAACATATAATCACACCCAATGATGGATCAAGGATTTGGATTCAAGGGGTCGAATTTTTTTCCCGCTAGTGTAGGACTCTACTATTCTTTTTATTCAAAAATTCTATTAGTACATGGTACATACATGAAACTTAAATCTACTACACTATAATGTTTACATAATGGGAAAAATAACTTTGATTTTATAATTGAGTGCTCTAGAATAACATATTGGTACATTATAGCGCCAGTGTAATTCAAAATTATGCGTGCAATAATAAAAATGAAAGTAAATAGAAATACCTGGATGAAACCGAGCCCAACAAATCATTGTTTCCTTAAGACGAAGTTACCCACAACACAAGTTGCAATCGTCTCGGTCTTTACGTTCCCGAAAAGGACACCTACAAACTCAAAGATGCAACGTTAATGGAGGCAACCATGTGTATATATAGAGCTCTTGCCAGGAGACTCTACATCCAAAAGACACCTTTAGAAATAAAGGTTGTGATCCTTCTTCTAAAAGCAAAAGGTTGTGTTTATTGTCAAACCTTATCCAAAACTGAGAAAAATATACAAGTATTATTTTTAGTACTATTACGGAACCTTGGTTGGTGGGTGGAGACTTCAACGCCATTGCAACACACAATGAGCATAAAGGAAGATCAATGCCAAATCTAAGGAGTATTACAGAGTTTTCTGACTGTATTGCTGCTTGTAACCTAATACAGCCTTCCTTCCCGGGTCCTCATTTCACATGGTCAGGGGTGAGATCTAATGGATGGGTTTGGAGAAAGTTTGGAAGCAGAAGGCACACATTAAATGGCTCAAGGAAAGGGATGCTAATACTAGTTTCTTTCATTCTTATGTTAAAATTAGACACAGAAAGCAAGCCATTTCTGCCATCGCCAATGATAGGGGTCAGATGGTTACTTCTCAATCTGAAATTGGGGAAGCTGCTACTTCATTCTTTTCTGGCCTGTATGTTGTTGAGACAAAGGTTTATACAGGTCATTCTGTATGCTGTTGAGACAAAGGTTTATACGGGTCATTCTGAATAATCTGAAGGCTACTTATATGTCTATTTTAGTTGATGGTGTGCCAACAGGTTTTTTCAAGCATAAGCGTGGGGTGAAGCACGGTGATCCACTTTCACCCTTCCTTTTTATTCTTACCTCTGAGGCTTTTTCAAGAGGTCTGAAATGGCACATGGAGAATGGATCTATTAAGCAGTATTGGATGGGTGCAGTAGGTCACCTCATATCCCATTTAGGATATGCAGATGACTTGCTGATTTTCCTCAATGGGAGCACAAGATCCTTGGTCAACTTTAGCAAGTATTTGAAATCTTATCAATTGGCTTCTGGACAATCTGTTAACTGGCAAAAGAGTACCTTTACCTATGGAAGAAAAGCCAGGTTTGGGATTATTTCCATATTGCTAGGCATGTCTGACGCTGAATTGCCAATCAAGTATTTGGGAACGCCCTTTCGGAAGAGGTTTTGGTCTATCTTTTCGATTTTTTATGTTCGTTGAAAGGGAATGCCCTTTCGGAAGAGGTTTTGGTCTAGTCTCCCTCTTCTTTTGTACTCTTACCCCTTTTTAATAAAACCTTGCAAATGTTCCCCGACGTTTGCCCCACTGATTTTGGTGGTTCGCCTTCAGGGTTAAAAAATATTATTTTTAATCCATAATTGGGGACAATTTCTCGTTCATTTCAAAATGGTTTTACACAAATAAGTTTTGTAAACGTTCTTCTCTCAGAGCATAATATATATGTTAGGACTTAGTCCTAGGGGTGGATTCAGTTCGGGCACCGAACCAAAATATGAAAATCCTGAACCGACCAGATAATTCGGTTTCTAAAATTCCCCAACCCGTGACCGAACCGAACATGACTGGAACCCGAAATTTCGGGTCGATTTTCCAATTTTACGAAAAAACGAAGTGAATTTTGAAATACTACGTATTAACTAAGGCAATGAAGCAGAGCCTAGAGCTGGGTCCGAAACACCAAAAACCGAAAACCGAATCAAATTAAATCGAACCGCGACCAAATAAAACCGAACCGCTAAAAACCGAAACCGAATGTAAATAACCGAACTGAACCGAACAAACCAAACATAAATAAAATATGAAATTTTATTTGTTAAATGTAAGCATTAATCTTAATATCATCAATAATCTTTGAATTTCTTGTGCCAGAGTAATAATGTTTATGCTATGTTTAGTTTATTTTATAAATGCATTTACACATTCATTGCCCACAATAATGTAGCTATATTGATCTATTATGTCTTTTATGTATGTACGTTGCAATTTGTTGCATGATTATATGTTTTTATTGGTAATTAGTAGTAATATAATTAACTTTTATTTTTATGTAACTTAATTCTTTTTTGTAACTTAACTTTTTATATTGATAAAAACAAATAAATATTCATCTCGGCTATATCACATAGGACATATGTATTCATAAACGTTTTTCAAACTAGTCACAAACATTGTAAATTAAGAATAGATACACACTTTTATCTCTCCCGCATACTCATATAATTCAAGACATATTTGTTTATTATTATTTTCTTCATTTGTTCAATTATGCTTGCATTTTTATGTAATATGTTTTATCCCTCCAACTTTTATATCAATTTTAAATCAAATGACAAATATTTAGTAAAAAACCGAAAAAACCGAAATTGAACCGAAACAAACCGAACCAATCAAACCGTGGTTCGAAGTTTTGGAGTGTAAAACCGAACCGAAACCGAACTTTTACATTGGTTCCATATTTGGTTTTAGGTCAAAACCGAACCGACAGAACCGAAACCACCCCTAGCAGAGCCTTGACCACCCATGTTGATTCTCAACCCAAGGGCTGGGCATAGGAGGAGTATGCCTTCCATTTCACCCGGTGTGAGAAAGTATCGAAGGCTGAGAGAAATTATAAAGGAAGGTGCAGAGATAGGAATCGAACATGGGTGGGCGAAAAATTTTAAAATGGGAAGATTTGCATTCCCTAAAACGCTGAGCCACTAGAACAAGTTTGCAATACACGGACTTGCGATAAATACACGGACTTGCAATAAATATATTATTTAAACTAGCGTGGGGATGCGCGTTGCGCGATATCCGTGCCCAACGATAGGAAACAATCAAAAAAATGGGGAAAAACAGTTCAAAACAGAGGAAACGGTAGTTCAATCATGCAGGTACACCATTGTATTGTTTAAAAACAAATCGAAACGAGAAAAGAGTTGTTCAATGATTGCAATGAATGCACTAACAACAATGGTGATGACATAGTAATTAAGAAAAAAGAGCAAGAGTTTGTTAGCATATTCGGGGATTAAGAATGAGCAGAAGGGTTGCTCAAACCAGATTTCATAATTTTATATTAAAGGATTAAGTCAAACACTGAAAGAATAGATTATACCATAAGAAGTCACTCTAGAACAACCACATTCTTTGAAGTTGATTAATTTAAGCACCCATGTGAGACCACCTGGAGTATGAAAATCATAAAATAAATCAGGTGACAGGTTACACCTATACTAATGCCCAACAAATGAATCCTAAATTATAATAAAACAAGTCATTTATTCAAATTAAATAAGAAACAAAGAAGATGATCAGTCCAGCGTGGTCCGCATCAGAAGTTTGCAGATCTGGACCCAGTAATTCTTGCGGTGGAAGACATCTTCTTATCAGTAGCTCGCACTCCTCCTGCAGTTAAAAGTGATCAGAACATGTTGGAGTTGAGATTGAATTAACTGTCCATGAATTTAATGGACTTACCTGTCTGTAGAGCCTGGAGTGTTTAGTTATCTTTGAAGTTGAAGAGAGAAGCGTGGAAGTTTTATTGGATTTAAGTAAAGAAGGATTCTGACCATAAACACGAACTACTGGGCGACATCCCCTTCCATTATTATAGAGAGGAAGGAACCTAAGTATGATACAGTCCAAAGCTAAGAGTGTGTCTGATGGAGGCCAATCTAACCCAAAACTTCTCCTGGAGATATACTGAAGATATCTAAGCTGCGATTGTAGCGGATTCAAAGGCGATAAAAGATAAACAAGTTCCCTTGGGGCTTGTTTGTATACCATTTCAAGAGTCTTCTGTTCACCAGTGTAATGTTTTCTGTACAAAAGAAGGCAGGCGAGCATAAACGCCAACAAGGGCCATCCTCCCCTCTCACAGTGCACCAACAACACATTTTGTTGGCCTTCAAGTGACAACCAGCTCTCACAGGACCGCAGAAAGTGGTGGATCATCTCCAATGGCAATACTGGATAGCCCTCGTGTTGCAAAGGATAATCCATGACAGTCATAGTGTACTGGGACATGATGTCAGATATTGGGCCACTCCTATCCCGCTCTTTAAAGTAAAAAACCATGAAAGAAGCATCAGTATAATAATCGTGCAGCTGAGCTACAATTCCACCCAAGTTTGTTTTGTACCCATTGTCATCCAATACCTTTGTGGAGAAGCAACAATCAAACACTGCAAATAAACAACATGCAAAAAAATGTATCAACGATTTTTTAGCATTCCCAATCAGCATTATCAACAAGATATGAAGTATTTTTATGATTAAAAAATGGAGATACATATTAATGCCCCTTCACCAACAAAATATAAATATCTCATTAGATGCTCAACCAACACAGTTAAAGTGGCTCTTAAACAATTCATTTGCAGCAAGAGCAGCCCATATTTTAGTGAAAACGTTTCTGACTCAGCTAGAAAGATGACAACAAGTAGTCTTGAATAAAATCCAAGAAAGTTTTAACATTTTGATCAGATGTAATCTAAAAGCATACTACTTCTAGCTAAGCTAGCTCCACTCAAGCAACCATCAACCAGCATGAAAGTGGAGGAGGTGGAGGTGGTGGTGGTGGTGGTGGCAGATGCACTTGCTGAACTTGGCTGATTTGGTCCCAACGAATGTAATATTACCAACGAATGTAGGCATAAATGCAACCACTTTCCATAACATTGTAATATTACCAACAAATGCAATGACAATGTTACATTCGTTAGAAATTAGACTTCAGCATAAATCATTTGAAAAATAAAATTTAAAATTACCTAGTGACTTACAATGTTTTGAAAGACCAGTCATCAATGCAATGACAACCTTAAATAAATGGACATAAAATTAGCTTAGGTATGATAAATGTTACTTAGTTAGAAAAACAGAAGATAAATAATCATGAAATCCAACCCAAAAGCCTACTAAAACTGAATCCTAAGAGTTTGGTTTAAAGAGCATAAAGTTTGACTTTTTTTAGAATAAGTCATGAATTTGATCTGGTGTTGGAAATAATTGCTTTTCAACAAAAAGGAATAAGAGATTTTGTCTTTTATGAAGATTATCATGTGACTTAAGCATGCAGTAATTATAATGACTATAATTTCCAGAAGCTGCCACTTAGCAAATGCAATTAAGTAGATAAAAAATGGGATACCTATACGAACTCATTAACCGTTTGCAAAAATGGTTGAATTTTAATCAAAAGGAAAAAAATATCTTCATTTTTAAGATGATCATCGTGCGACTTAGGCATGTAGTAATTAATTATTCTCATTCCCAGCAGCTGCCACCTTGGAATACAATTTTAAAAAATTAAAATGAGATACCTATATGAACTCATTGATATAGAGTTTCTGTAAAAGTATAGTAATGTTGTTCAGTGGCTAAAAGAGTTCCATTTACGTCCCAAATCTGCAAATAAAGATTTAAGGAGTTTAGAATTACCTTGTGAGGTAGAATGTGAGAAAGTTTAAACACAAATTGGAATAAAATGACTGCAATGAATGCAAATAAAATTGAAACGCTACTGGATAATTTTTTTTAATATAATGCATATTTGGAATGTTCTGACATTTCAGCCATGGAAAAACTACAAAAATAGACATTAATACTATGGATTGAGAGTGAATGTAGGAGCATTAGACTTAAAAATGAGCATTATGGCAGGACTGACAACCATTTCAAGCCATTGAGTGTCACTTAGCATTAAAGCAACATCTTGTTCAAAAATGAAACTGACATAGATACTGTTTAAAATGCTTCTTATCTGTTGAGCCCTCGGTTTCATGAAGGGATTAACCCAAACCAAAGGAAACAAGAGATATCCACCTGAATCAAAGAAAATAAAAGAAAACGCAAAGCACAAATAAGTTGAAAATCAAATGAAAATAGAAGGGACCTTTGACATTAATAATTACATCTTCTATGAGTTCCAAGAACGCCTCAATCTTGATACTATCAAAGTGATGGAATGTAGACTGAAGTACTTACACAAAGGGCAATATGCAGTTATAAATACAACATTCACATTAGGAGTACACGGCCAGTGAGGAATGAACAACAATGGAGGCTCAGACAAGGCTCACTAACAGGCAAAATGAAACATCTGACACCGCCATAGCTGCAAACACACAAAACACATGACATATTCAGATCTGGTCAGTGTGTTGCCACGCCAAGATACGGGTCAGGTATTCCTAATGCCCATCAACCGGCTCAAGAAAATAAATTATCATCATAGCCCCTCTATAACAGCACTGCCATCGGCAGCCGTTACACTTTTAACCTTAGGGACCTCAGGTTAACTTTATGGACCTCATATTCTTTATGAGTCTCAGAAGCATCATCGGTAGCAGGG